TGGCTGCAGGGGATCTCCAGCACGGCAGATGCAGACAGCCTCTGGCCTGAACTTGCTGTGATCTCCAATTTGGCAAAATGAACCAGCAACAGTCTTGCCTGTGTCCAGTTCTTCTTTCTTGCCTTTGTTCCTCATGGCCTAGTCCTATTGAACTAAATGTCCACGGAGCATTTATCTGTTCATTTTGAAATAATTTCAAAACAAGTTGCAAGAATAGTACAGAAAACTGTTAACAGGCCAGGCACAGAGGCTGACGCCTGTAATCCCAGCACTTTGGGAGGCCGAGATGAGCAGATTGCCTGAGCCCAGGAGTTCGAGACCAGCTTGGTCAACATGGTGAGACCTCATCACTACTAAAAATACAAAAATTAGCTGGGTATGGTGGGGCATGCCTGTGGTCTCAGCTACTCAGAAGGCTGAGGTGGGAGGATGGCTTGAGCCGAGGAAGTGGAGGTTGCAGTGAGCTGAGATAGCACCACTGCACTCTAGGCCGGCAACAAAGCAAGACCCTGACTCAAAAAAACAAAACAAACAAAAACACCACCACCACAAACCTCGAACATTTTCGTTACCCAGTGTCCCCCAGTTGGGATGGGATCTTGCTCTACTGCCCAGCCTGTCTTAAAGACTGGCCTCAACTCAGTCTCCTGCCTCAGTTTCCCAAAGCACTGGGATTACAGGCATGAGCCATGCAACCAGCTTGCAGGAATTTTTACGTCACAAAAGTCAGCAAATGTTACAGATCCAGGCCCCACCAGCCAGCTGTTACACATTTGCATATGATGTTAATTTGTCTCTTTAATCACTTTTGAGACCAGCTTGGGCAACATGGTGAGACCTCATCTCTACTAAAAATACAAAAATTAGCTGGGTATGGTGGGGCGTGACTGTGGTCTCAGCTACTCAGAAGGCTGAGGTGGAGGATGGCTTGAGCCCAGGAAGTGGAGGTTGCAGTGAGCTGAGATTGCACCACTGCACTCCAAGCCAGCAACAAAGCAAGACCCTGACTCAAAAAAACAAAACGAACAGTGACTTTGTGACTTTGATCACTTTAAGTTGATTCTTGCCAGAATTTGCCATTGTGAAGTTACCATTTTTCCCTTAGTAATTAACAAATATTTGGAGAGGAGACACTTTTATGTAAAAGTCTTGACTCCTCCTTAAAACTTTACTTGCATCGACTGAGGACTTTTGTCT